TATCAGTTATAAACAAGAAGATCCACTCTTCTTCTGAATACCTTGAACCGCTTCAAGAGCATCAGTCTCAGCCTTTACCTGTTGCCACCCTTTGTGTACAGTCCGAAGCAGCACTGCTCGTACTCTTATTGTTTCCGTTTCGGCCGGTGACCAACTAGCCTCCTTGGATTCTCCCCACCCACCAAGAATTTCCCCTTCCTCATTTCGAGCTATCCGACTTAATGCGTGAATTGCTCTATTCTCATTCACAGCTCCACCAACATTTATCTTGTGCATCCTTCTCGAGGTTGTCACCACTTCCCCTTAGTGAGCTCCTTTGTTTAATCCCCCCAAGAGCTACTAGTATCTTTTACAAATTTAACCTCTCGCCAACCCGTGAGTGTGGCTTCTGCTATATGCCATGTCAATCTCACCTCCCGCCAACCCGTGAGTGTGGTTTCTGTTATCTGCCACGGCTATCTCACCCAGTCTTTTCTCCTTCAATTCCACACAACGTCATTCCTGCGTTTCATAAGAGCCCAGAGAAGTATAAAGATTCATTTTCTTTCCTCATCAATATTATCCATGCACTTCTGAATCCACTCGTCAAAACAACTTGCTTCCCTACAAAAGATCCATCGTACTCTTTGTTAACCCTCTATTGCAATTGAACACAACCAAGAGCGCATGATCACTAATTCACTATCGTCTTCGCCATTCCCACAAACTTTGCAAGCAGTTGATATATCCACTCCTTTACTACTCAATTTCACTTTCATATAGTAGGTAGAAATCCTACCAGAGTTTACCAAAAAAAAATTAATTTTTGTGGAACGTTGATATTCCACATACTAGTCCACCCCATCCACACGCTCTATCCCGTATGGCTCTCCAGTAATTTATAACACTTTTTTCAACCAAAAGTCGGTCTTTCGTCATTCCACTAGTGCACGTCTTACATGTTATAAATACTAATACGAATACTCAAAATAGTTTTTGCTTCATCTTGAGAAATAGAGATGTTACCCATTCAGTATTCCAACGCCTACCATCTTTGGATCGAATAGATGCAACATTCATATCTCGAATCCCCACGGGTTTGACAGACTAGACCATACCTGATTCAATCCTTAGTAACCATGCATACCTGCACCGCCACCCCATTGTCGACCCTGTATTTGGAATTCTCCGAGACAACTTGTTGTGTGGCTAGGATTCTCTAATTTTCTGAAAACCCAAACCACCTTCTGTTTTGGCTTTGCAAAGACCATCCCCTGCTTTCTGTCGAATACCTTTTTTCTCAAAATTGTTACCCTTCCACCGGAAGCTATTCGTTAATTTTTCAATTTACTCGGATAGCTCCTTTGGTGAAAAAAACATTCATAGATGTAGGCATAGCTTGGATGACATTTTTAAAAGAACCGCACACCCCACTCTGGGAAGGAATCTAATAATTCAACTCTTTATGTGTGCGATAATTCTCTCCTATAAATAGCCCACAATGTTGTTCTTACCATTATCCACTAAAGCTGACAGTCCCAAGTAGCGGCTACAGTGATCCTCCTTTTGAATTCCCATAGGCGCACAGAAACACTATGTCCATTCCCGTCACATTTGGACTAAAAAAATGCTGAATTTATTAAAGTTAACAACCTTCCCCGAAGCACATTCATACTGATAGATGCAGAATACTTTTGAGATACATTTGGAGCCCCTCGACATATTGCTACACGATGAAGAGCTCCTCGATCCGCGTTCCGCCCTATGAAAAAGAGCACTCAAACCTTCAACAACTAAGAAACTAGATGCCTTTGGAGACACTCCATTATAAGATGAATCCACCGAGTAGCGAAACCCATTTTGCCATAACCAGACTCAAAAAGCCATTCAACTCGATCATAAGCTTTACTCATATCAAGTTTTAATACAATAATGAAACCCTCTTTGCCTTGACTCCTCTGTTTAACATTATGTTGTGTTTCAAACATAGTAGGTTCTCCTAGGGATGAATGCATTTTGGTTTTCTCCAATTAAATTATGCACTAGGTTCTTTATACGATTAGCCAGAACCTTTGGAATATTTTTAAACACCACATTGTGTAAAGCAATAATATATGCCTTCAATCACCCAGTTTTTTGCCGCTTTCATTTTCTTCGGGAATATGACCAAATTCAAACACACTAGTACGCATATGAACAACATCAAGACCAACAATGTCCCAAAGTGGTTGAAAAAGTTGGATACATACCACCCAGGGCGGGAGTTTATTCGGATGCATGTCAAGTAACGCGAGTTTTACATCTTCCGACTTGATTTGCCTTAAAAAGACGCATTTTGATTCTCCAAAATTGATTTCAGTTCATTCAATTTTCTGTGCTCTTTGACCCCTTAAAGGAGTAAAAAAGGATGAACAATAATCCATAATCGTCTCCTTTAATATATCTCTATGTGTGATCCATGATCCATCTGATGTCTTCAAACCTCTCATTTTATTATTCTGCCTAGTTGTTTAACCTGTCATTCTTAATTGAAACATCTGATAATATTCTAAAATTAAATACAAAAACTAAGTTAGTTTTCAAATTAAAAAACTAACTATTTGTATAGACCGAAAACTATATTGTTTCTTTATTGAAGAAAACAAATGATATTAGTTGATCAACTTAAAATTTTGGCCTAATGAGCCAATAATAAGCCCAGTTTCCTATTTGTCATTCTTCTTTAAATAAAACATTTGTAAAATTTTAAATATAACTACTCTATTTTATTTCCCAAATAAGAGCAATTACTATCATGTTTTAACACAACGAAACATTAAAATAATAGTATTTTTTAGGTTTGGAAATAACTATGGGGTAACATCGATATCTAGGACATGTTTACTTCACATATTACTAAAGTGTGCTTATTAAGACTTGCTTTAATAGGCGACACGTAAAATAAGCAGTGTTATAAGCTTATGCTACTTCACATGATTTAAAAACACCGTTTAACATTAAAATGCCCAAAATAAAAATATACATATATATACACAAACATTTATGTATATATAAGTATATATAATACGTGTGGGTCTACCCCTTCCCCTAACCCGACAGTGACAACACTCACTCCTACCCTTACCCTCGACCTCCTATCCATACCCCTACCCCTAGGGACTGACCTATATTATAAGGATAAGCAGAACCAAAAGAAAAAGATATACTTGGTAATGATAATTTAAGTCAGTTTCGTTAAAAAACAAATATACTTGGTATGTGCATACACTGATACACTTAGTTCCAATGCCTATATCCGCCATTGCCTACACCATGGATAAGAGCATCCACATTGATGATTTTCAACTTTACGGTTTTTCATGACTTATTATTGTCATGTCACCTCCACATAAGATAATCTCAAATAATCTCCAAACCAATAAATTTCTCAGCATTCATGATCTTAATTTACCTTGGATAGGAGCATGAGCATGCACAAACTATAAAACTAGTCATCATCATAATTATGAGTATATGCCTAGAAGTTGGAAATAATCTCAAAATAATCCAGCTTTAGAATTTGATATCAGAATATTTTATCAAATAATCTCGTAAAATAATCTCAACTCCTCATCCATGATCCAAAAAAAAAAACCTCCACATCATCAAAATGATCCCAAAAATAATCTATGGATGGGGATGCCCTAAAGGTAAGGCCGTAAGGGGTAAGAACAAGGACACGTTTACTTCACGGGTTACTAAACGGTGCTTATTAAGACCCGCATTAGTAAACGGTGCATAAAATAAGCAATGTTGTAAGATCGTGTTTACTTCAAATAGTTTAAAACACCGTTTAACATCAAAATGTCCAAAATAACTCTATGCATATATAGACGCACAAACATTCATGAACACAAGTATATAATATAATAAGTGGGGTCACCTCGTACGTGTACCCATACCCCTAGCCCCTTACCCAGGCCCTATACCCCCACAAACCCCCACCCATACCCCTACCCCTACCCTACACCCCTACCTCCAATTCCACACCCTTGACTCCTACCCTATCCTCACCACGATAGGGGGTGGGTGGGGGTAGGATGGCGGTAGGGTGGGATCGGGGTAAAGCCGAGGTAAGGGCTGAGGGTGGGGTAGGGTGGTAAGGGCTAGGGTTGGGGTTGGGATCGGGGGGTGGGGTCGAGGTAGGGGCAAGTGGGGTAGGGTTGTGGTTAGGGGTAAGGGTGGGGGATGGTGGGGTCGGGGTAAGGTTATGGTAGGGTAGGGGTTAGGGCTATGGTGGGGTCGGTTCGGGGTAACGTAAGGTATGGTAGGATGGGGTCGGGGTAAGGTAGGGTAATGGGGTAGGGTAGGATGGCAATAGGGTGGGGTCGGGATCGGGGTGGGGACGAGGTAAGATCATGTGGTAGGGGGTTAGGGTAGGGGTAGATGGAGATAGGGTGGGGTCGAATCGGGGTGGGACCGAGGTAGGGGGTAGGTAGGGTGGGTCAGGGTAAGGTAGGGGCATGTGGTAGGGGCGGGGTAAGGGCGGGGTGGGATAGGGTCGGGGTGGGTCGGGTGGGGTCGAGGTGGTAGGGGTGGCGGTATCTATGGATCGGGGTGGGGCCGAGGTGGGGGCATGTGGTAGGGGGTGGGTAGGGTCGTTGTAGGGAAAAGGGGTACGAGTTGGGGGTGGGGTAAGTTGGGGATAGGTTAGGGTAGGGGTAAGGGGTACGTACGAGAATGGAGGTTGTGGGTAGGTTGGGGTCGGGGTAGTAGGGTTAGGCGGGGTGGGGTTGCGGGTAGGGTAAGGACAGGGGGTAAATTAAAAAACTGAAAAAGCTTAAAGCGCTGCTTAATTAATACATGGGGGTAGTATGCTTAGTAAGCGACACTTTAAGCACCTCTTTCGGTTAATAAGCGGTTTTTTAAGCAACGTGCGCGTTTACTTCACCTGTCTTACTAACTAACTGTGACTTTAGATGCGAATAAACTCTGGAAGTCTAAACAATACTCTGTGGGTATATTAAGCTAACCCGTGCTAACAAACAATATACGGAGTATTACGTATAGAATACTCCGTAGTACTCTAGCCTAATCCCTAACGGGCAACACCATAATTTGAAATTCAAACCAAAAGTTTGGAAATTGAAATGAAAAGCCAACTTCAAACACCAATCAATCCGGTTTAACATCTGCAGTCAAGGAGTTGCAGAGTTCACTACCGCATACCAAAGAGGAAATGGCTGATCAAGGCAAGAAGAAGCAACACCTAAGCCTCAATCAGCGTCACACCCGCGTCCTCTTAGACCTCTCCGCATCACATTCCAAAGCTCCTCCATCTTCTTGCTTTCACGGTACGTATCATCGGCCTAAACTATGAATTGCATACATGTATTTGACAGCTATTGATAGATTAAAGAGCGCTGTTTGGTTGTTCAAAATGGATTTCTCACTATAACTTGATACTTTTTGGCCTATATGCGTAAATATTATTAACTTTCTGGATTTGCTTTCAAAGAGGGGAGAGTTAATTTCGGAGCCAATGCAGATATGGGAAATGAGAAGCAACAAGAGGCCGTTCCCAGTTTTGGAATTGGTTTAGATTCTCTATCTGCTTCTCCTTGTACTGGTAGGGCTTCATTTTAAAAAGCTTTCATCAATTACATTTAACTTTTTGGGGTGCACATATATTGAATGCCTGGCTTGCTCTTGAAGAGGAAAATGCAATTAAACCTGAGAGAAAGCTCCAAGATAAAAATGAGGATGTTCCTAACTTCGGAACTGATCTTGTTTCTCCTACCATTTCTCCACCTCTTGGTATGATTTCCTTTCATTGTGTATGTCAATACATGTAATCACTCTGTCTTTATCTGTCTCTGGGCACATTACTAAGTTAGATTACATGTTTTGGGGTGGACATATATTGAACAAATGTTTTGATTTTGTGAAGAAGAATATGCAAGTACTGCCGGTAACAAAGTCCAAGAAAAAGAAGAGGATGTTCCTAACTTTGGAATTGGTTTTGATTCCCCTATTCCTCCTCCTCCGCCTCTTGGTATGATTCATGTCATGACTCTGTCTTTTGTACCTGATTGCATAAATACATTGTACGTTGCGGGTGCACATTTATTAAATTGAATACAATGTTGTTTTTTTGAAGAGGAAAATTCAACCACTGCAGAGGGAAATCTCCAAGAAGAAAATGACAATGTTCTTAACTCTGGAATCAATTTTGATTCTCCTAATGGTTCTTCTCTTCCAGGTAAGATTTCATTTTGCTGTGTATGTTAATTAATGTTGGGCATTTTTGAAGAGAAGAATAAGATTTAAATGACAATGTTCCAAACCTAGAAACATCGTCACTTTTATCTAGAGATGTTTCTTATCAGAATATGTGATATGTGCACGAACGACATACAATATATTGATGTTGACTTGTGGTGTTGTGCAATGGCGGGCCTAAATGGGTGCATTATATCGCAGAACCGAAAGAAAAGGATGGGAAGAGGAGGATCAAAGGTCGACGTCGCCTGTGTAAAATTGTGCATGACATCAACATAAATGAAAACGATCCTGTTTTTGATGAAGGGACAAATGGTTTGGAGATTCCAGACTTTGATTCATCACCCCCAGTAAGAAATGCAGCGGCGAATGAATATTCTGGTGGTGGAAATGAAATAAGGGACATCAACATAAATGAAAACGATCCTGTTTTTGATGAAGGGACAAATGGTTTGGAGATTCCAGACTTTGATTCATCACCCCCAGTAAGAAATGCAGCGGCGAATGAATATTCTGGTGGTGGAAATGAAATAAGGGATATCCTGAATGATTTAAGTTCAAGACTTGAGATTCTTTCAATTGATAGGACAAAGGTCCAAAAGAAGATTGATAGAACTGAAAGAGTGGAAGAGTTTCCAGAATACGAAAGTGCTGATTCTTCATTTTCAGTCTCATCTGATGAAGAAATGAAGAAGAAGAAAAATGAAGTTAAAGCAGTGGCAGGAAAATCGGAATGTGTGGGAAAAAGTCACCCTTCATATCATGAGCTAGATGACACTGATGATGACTGTGTAGTTGTGAGTGAAAAAAAAGCTTTAAAAAATTTTGGAAGTCCAAACAAGTATTCTGCACATGAGCATTGTCACGGTGATGAGGTTGATGATCGATGTGGAGATGGTTTTGCCTCAGAGGAAGAGCATCTATTCACTTCAAATGGTCTAAAGTTTATGCTACCTGGAGAAGTTGCAAATATGTTATATCCCCATCAGCGTGATGGTTTGAAGTGGCTATGGTCTATCCACTCCAAAGGGAAGGGGGGCATTTTGGGTGATGATATGGGTCTGGGCAAGACAATGCAGGTAAAGGATCCTAATATCTGTATCTGCCTTGATATAATGGTATTTGAACATATATTATTTTTTAGTTGTATCTTGTTTCAGATATGTGGCTTTCTAGCCGGGCTGTTTCATTCAAATATGATTAGGAGGGTAATGGTGGTTGCTCCAAAAACATTAATGCCCCATTGGATCAAGGAATTAACTGTTGTGGGGTTATCAGGGAAAATTAGAGAGTAAGACTTTGTGGTCAATATTCCATAGCTTTTTTCTTTTATTATCGAGTACTCCATATATATAGTCCATTAAAATGAGAAGTGATTTAACTTGTTTTTCTGTAGATATTATGGGACTAGCATTAAGGCTCGGGACTATGAACTCCGTTACATACTAGAGGTACCTGGTTCCATCACTTACAACACAGTATTTATTATTTAGTGCAACTAGCCTATGTCATGTACTCGTATCTTCATTCTGCCATTAGCTGTTTAAGTGTTTCCTATTGATTGTTTCTTATTCTTGACGTTAGAGATGATGCTAACTTTGTACTCAATTAACTCTGGATCAATGATATTCTAGGCTTAATTTTCCCCATTCCACCACAACTCATTTTGTTCACTAGCAAATGATCTGAAACCTTGGTTTAATTTGAGATCATCGGCATAGGCTTAATTACTGCACTTGACACGAGTTCAATTTTTATATACTTTTGCAGGATAAAGGCGTGCTTCTCACAACTTATGACATTGTAAGAAACAATGTTAAATCTTTGTGCGGAGATTATTATCACCGTGGTGATCAAAGTGAGGATGAGGTTATATGGGATTATATGATTCTTGATGAGGTAATTGCAATCATTTGTTCATTATTTTAAAATCCAACTTGAACATTTTGATAGGTCATAGGTCTGATTTTTTTCGTCAAATAGCAACATATTATTATTACTTCCGTGTTTGTTGGATTGACACAGCTGCATTCTTTGCATGTCTGGCAATATCTGTATAAGTATATTTTCTACACAATAATGCCTCTTAGTGATTTGTACAGGACTAGCTAGGCACTTTAATCAACTTGCATCTTATTTGTTTTCCTTGGGTTGGTGTAGGGTCATTTGATAAAAAATCCCAGCACACAAAGAGCAAAAAGCTTACATGAGATACCTTCTGCTCACCGTATCATTATTAGTGGGACGCCGCTCCAAAACAATCTAAAGGTTTATGTGGCTGCCTTTACTATTTCTTTTAAGCTATGTGATTTTGGTTCTCTTTATCTTTTTAAAATTAAGAGTTGTAAATAATAATCTGCTGCAGTTTTTAAAAGCTTTCTTATCTTTTATGTTGTAGGAACTCTGGGCTCTATTCAACTTCTGTTGTCCTGGGTTGCTTGGTGATAAGAAATGGTACTTATTTATACAAATCTAAAGTTTGCTAAGATATTAACTTCATCAACATGAACCCATTATATATATAACTTCAGGTTCAAAGAAAAATATGAGCATTTTATTCTTCGTGGAAATGAAAAGAATGCATCAGACAGGGAAAAGCGTATCAGTTCACAAGTGGCAAAGGTAATTAGTCTAGCACACATTGTATTTCCTCTTTGTTGCCACTTGTGCGCGCACACTTTGATTTTTAATGCGAGATGCAATTTGTACATCAATTTGTTATTTATTAATATTTTCAAACTCTATTTGACACATTATGCTCAATATATTTTACTCTTTCATAACAGTATATGAAAGGTAAAAATCTCATGTTGTTTTCTACCTTTTATAATGGTTCTGAAATTTGAATACATATATTCTTTTCTTATGAGTGTAGGCATCAGTATACTTCTAAATATACATGCTTACATGCACAGGGATGTAAGTGTTTGTAAGATCATATGCTCTAATATAGTCCGTGTCTTTAATTATGCATGACAGTTCTACTAATTTGGGTTTAAAGCATAAATAAGTATGTTTGCTCTAGATTTGGTCGAATTTGTAGCTACCACAAGGTCTACTCCTATCTTGTCCTAAATTGTTGTTCTTTTGTTTTGACAGGAGTTACGAGAGTGTATACAACCTTACTTTTTGCGGCGTCTTAAAAGTGATGTATTTACAGATGATACCTCAACTGGCATAAAGCTTTCAAAGAAAAGCGAGATGTGTGTGTGGCTAAAATTAACTAGTTGCCAGGTAATAGGTTTTATAACCCTGTTTTGCTATCACTCTATCATTCCCTAATTAATGCTTTTTCACTTCATTGTTTTGTTTCTTGAAGTTACTCTTACCCCTGTGCTCCTTTCTTTTGCCCAGCGTCAACTATACGTTGCTTTTTTAAAAAGTGAGATAGTACTTTCAGCATGTGATAGCTCACCATTGGCAGCATTAACGGTAATGCTCTAAATGAAATATATTCTTGTTGCATTCTACATAGAGCACTATGATGATCTTTCATAGTTTGTAAATATTTAGCACAATGAAGCACCTTATTGTTTTGAGTATCCATCTCTATCCTAATGAATATTACATGGATTATTTGATTTAATTGATTCTGATCAATGTAACACACATAAATGTATATGTTCAAATATGTAATAAATAGAAAATAAAGCCTTGTTCTCAGGAGGATTGATTTTCAGTGCTAAATAGTGCTCCATATTGCTTAATGTTATTTTTAAACTTCCAAATTTTATACTTCCAACTTTAGTGTTCCTTTTCTTCAAACATATTTTATTATATTGGTGAGAAAGAAGTTTTATTGAACTCATTTTAATAAGAAACCTGATCAGAAAAATATGCTACTATTTATTTGTTCTACACTTCTACCTTTAAAAAAATGTGTCCCTATTATGCTACTATTTATTTGTTCTACACTTCTACCTTTAAAAAATATGAAACCTGATCAGAAATGCAATTTTCTTTAAACAGATCCTAAAAAAAATCTGTGACCATCCTCTGTTATTGACCAAAAGAGCTGCCGAAGAAGTTTTAGAAGGGATGGAATCGATCTCATTGCCAAGCCAAGAGGATCAAGCTATGGCTGAAAGATTGGCAATGCAAATGGCAAAAGCAGCTGAGAAATTAGACTTTGAGGATAGTCAAAATATTTCTTGCAAGATTAATTTCATTATGCAGTTGCTGGTTAGTTTCCATCAAGTCATCAAGATTACCATACCTACATCATGAGTGCATATTGCTAATGTCAATAATTCTTGGCTCTAGGAATTCTTAATTCCAAATGGACACCATGTTCTCATTTTTTCACAAACACGGAAGATGCTTGATCAGATTCAGGTAACTACCACTTTTCCCTTTTATAATTGAAGTTTAGTAGTAATTTTATTTTATTTTTTATTTTGTTAGACATAATTATTAAATGTCGATTATCCAATTATTGTCTTAGGCCTCTTTAATGTCTGTTGATCTGAAGTTCTTGCGTATTGATGGGACTACTAAAGCTGCTGACAGATTGAAAATAGTTAATGTATGCATTCGGATTGGAGCTTATCTTATGTTTTTACCAATTTACTTCCATTCAATATTAAATAATTGCCATTCATCATAGAACTTTCAAGAGGGACATGGTGCTCCTATCTTCCTTTTAACTTCTCAAGTTGGTGGTTTGGGGCTTACACTGACTAAAGCTGATCGTGTGATTGTGGTTGACCCTGCATGGAATCCGAGGTATATGCTCGACTACATTCCTATTATGGTTTCTTTATGACTAAAGTGTAGACTCTGAACCTTTTGCATTTTCATGTGAAATAAAAAAGCACCAAGATCTCTCATATAAGGTAACATTACACCAAAATAAAAATGCACTATGACCCTTAAACCAAAACCGTCTGTAGTTATGTCATGTATGTATAAATGCATGTGCATGTATGGTTGGCATATATGTTGTTTGTGACTGCACAGTCTGGCGCACACCAGTTTTTTAGTGGTTCTGTGCTAATTACCTCAACTGTTTATTTTATTTTGCATCTTTGCAGTACCGACAATCAGAGTGTTGACCGAGCTTATCGTATTGGGCAAAAGAAGGATGTAGTTGTGTATAGATTGATGACCTGTGGGACAGTTGAGGAGAAGATCTATAGAAAGCAGGTCTGCATGCATTTATTTTCATTTACAAATAAATCTTGTAGCTGTTGGATACTTGTACTTATGACAAATATGAAGGATTATACATTTTATCTAGGAAATGTGAATATAATTTTTCTTCACAGGTGGTTGGCTGAAGTTTCTGCAATACACTTAGTTGTCTAATTTGATATGTTGAATTCTGGAATAGGTATTCAAGGGGGGTTTGTTTAAAACTGCAACAGAGCACAAAGAACAAATACGCTACTTTAGTAGAGGGGTATGCATAACTCTTGAGTTCATATAATCTGCATATTCATATATGAAATCTGACATGTACTTTTACAAAGTTCAGGATCTACAAGAACTTTTTAGCATCCCGAAACAGGGGTTTGACGTCTCTTTGACTCAACAACAGTTGCATGAAGAGCACGATCACCACCATGAGATGTACTCCATCCCTTCATTTCTTAAAACTTCCTGCATGGCTGCATTGATATTAACGCTTGTCGTTATGTGTTTAATTATATAGTCATTTTTTAGCAGGAAAGGGTCCCTAAAAGCTGAAATGGAGTTTCTTGGTGCTATGGATATAGGGGGAGTGAGTCAACACAGTCTTCTGTTTTCAAAAACAGCCCCTGTACCAGTAGATCAGGATGATGAGGATGTCAGCGGCAGGTGAGCAACTTTAAGTCGCAAAATTTACTTGCATATTTAAGAAGACACGTGAAGCCTGTTGAGAACCTATCGTGACAGTTTCGCCCTAAAACAATAATGGAAGGTGCAACCTATACTGCTACTAAGTACTAACACAACTATCTAACCACTAAGATTTGAAGTTGTTTGTCCATTGCTCATTTAAGTTAACCAGTAGGTGTTATATCAGCTTTACTTTTATTTCCTTCACATTTAAGTTAACATATATGGTGTCATTTCTCTTATCCTGTAGTTTGGTTCAAATGAGGGGGGAGTGGGATGAAGGAGAAACATGGGAGAAAAATTGAAAAGTAAAGAGGAAGAGGTTATGTTATGTTTAGAAAGTTGCATAAAAATATTATATATGGTATACTTTGTTGTTATATGTAGATATGTATAGCAACAATAATGTAGAGAAGTTCTTAAAAAAAGTTCTTCCAGTTTCTCCCTCCTCGCCAATTCCCCTAACCAATTAGACATGAGTCATCCATTCCCCCCCCCCCCCCCCCCTTCTCCAAAGTCCTCCAACCAAACAACACATTATGAATCGTCATGGATGATGCCCGCTTTCTCGACATGTGTCTTGTTTGAATGTGTAAGTGGGTTGCATATATGCCTCTATTTATAGCACAAGACATTAAATATAGTTTCTATTGTTCCTGGGGTACAGTGTAAGAGGGCCCACATATGTTGGAAATGTCTCCTCACGCTCATCAGTGGAACCTATTCCCAATGAGTAAGTTTTTGACTGGTTTTAGGCAGTTTACCATACTGTTTTGGAAATATTATATTTTTATGTCTAGTGTTGTAAAATTGCTATGTATTCCAGAGGGGCACAGTTCGCGTTCAAACCAAAGGATGTGAAGAATTTCAACAGGCCAATGAAAGCGTCTAGTTCTGTACCACGTCAAACTGAGGCTGAAATTAGAGATCGAATCAAAAGACTTTCTCATGTTCTTTCAGAAAAGGTGTTGAACTTGTTTATGTTCCTTTTGTCTACAGAAGCATTAGTTCAGATAAAAATAGTTCAACTTTGCATTTAAAAAAAATATAATGCAGGGAGTGAAGTTGCCTGATAAAGGAGAGAAACTGCGAAAGCAAATAGCTGAGCTGCATTCAGAACTTTACCAGATTCAAAACGAAGGGGAAGAGTATAAAGAAGTCATTGACCTGGATGACTTATCTGGGAAGTTCAAAAGGGTAATTAATGTATAGGAGTCCTTATGAATGGATTTTGTATTGTTACTTCTAATTTTTGTTTACAGATCTTGGTAAAAGAGTTCCTCTATGCTGGTTAACAGCTAGTTTTCCAAGTAGCTGACACACATTTACGAGTTATTCGTCAATTGCTTTGAATTTATTCGTCTCATCTTCACACGAAGTATATAAGAATGATAGTTTTACATACAAAAGAATAATGCTGGATCCATCTAGGGGAAAAATATGTTGAGGAGAAACCATAATGGTTTTAATTTCTAACCAAACCTTGAGGAACAACAGCTCAATCTTCCTTGCAAGTAAGACTCGACAGAGATGTTATGAACATTATCGTCTCCAGAATTCAGTAGAGCGATATTAATAAGGGATTGGATGTTGTTGGTTCCATGTTTTTCGCCATTTGATTCCTTTAACCCATTTACATGTTGCTTTGCCAAATTAATGGCATCCGGTTCGCCTTGGAGAAGCTTAACCACCTGTTTAAAAACTTGTTGAGATTTTAATGCAAGTAAGATACACACACATGATGGGACCAAATTGCTTACAAGGTTCATTGCGGGACGAATTATTGGATCACGTTTGATACACAGTTGTGCTGCCAGAATAATTCTCTCAAATTGATCAGGGTCATATGTCTCAATCAAGCTTACATCAAGCAATGATGTAGCTTTTCCTTCCCTCAGTATTTCTTCTGCCTGCACATCAGCAATCAATAAGTATAATGATCATGAAACGACCAAGAAAAAGGAATCTATTAGGAATATTACATATTTTGGCTTCATTTCTTTGTAGGAAAACAATTTCACTTTGCTAGGAAATGTTTTCCTGCAAAAGTGAAGTCGTTTTCCACAAGATTTGAATAAAAGAAAATGCTTCCCGATGCAACTCACAGAAAAATCTTTACTGGACAATGTTTTCCAACAAAATATTGTCATGGAAACAAACAGTGCCTAAGCAAATTTAAGAATGGAAATATTGTCAAGAAACAAAATTTTGTCATATAAACAAATGTAAACAAAATAATTCCAATTCTCTTTTCTGATCATATTGTGAGGACGCAGGGTCCTATATAAACTCTTTTGTACTGGTATCTACAAAGAAGCTTATACAATTGATTCCATAGACTCCTTAGGCCCCACTTATGTAGGAGGGTGTAACTCTTTTTACAGCATTTGAGGCCCGTATCCTGGGATGATGGTATGGCAGTGCTATTGATCAATTTAAAATGAGGCAAATAACGGATTTAAAGAAAAATCTAAAGCTCAGATCAGTGGGATAAAACCTACCCACAATACCAAGCTTGTCTGCCCCTTGGTATTCCTATTATCAATTGGCTTTCTACCAGATAAAAGCTCAAGCAGCACGATACCAAATGCATAGACATCAATTTTTTCGCTTATTTTTCCATGTGTAAAATACTCTGGAGCCAAGTAGCTGCAAGAAAGAAAATGCAGTTAGTCAAACAGATAATGATTTGAAACTCAAGAGGAATGATATATTCTAAGTTAACTTACCCAAATGTTCCAGCAACGTCGATGCCATCTAAGTAACATGATGATGAGCTTGAAGAAGCTAATGTTGTGAGCCCAAAATCAGAGAGCTGTAAAACCGACACGTTCCTTAGTACTTTCTTTTTGTTACGGTCTTTAATTAGATAAAGGTTACCCTTTGAAGCAAATCTAATTATGTACCCGTGGTTCGAAGTCATCAGAGAGAAGAATGTTTGAAGATTTAACGTCCCTATGAATGACAGGTTTTTCGGGTAATTTGTGCAAATAGTCCAGTGCCTCTGCAATACCTAAAGCAACGTTGTACCTGCCCTTCCAGTCAAATGTACTCCCAGCATTTTGTGTACCTAGTAGAATATAACATAGCTATAAGACTATGAGAAATGCTAATCTCAAGAACATCAAAGAAATCACTTCAGTGTTCCAACTTCTAAGAGCACCAACCACCAGGGGCACAGGTGGGGGAAATGCACACATGATAGTGCTCTAGTAGTTAGACCAGTGAGCATTTGGTGCTCTAGCTGAAAGAACACTGAAGTTTTGCTCTTCATCCACACGACCACAGTACCACACTAACAACAAGTCTTTGGATACCATGAAGATTGTCTTCAAGGCTTCCTCTAGACAAGAAATTATAAACCAACAAAAGGCTGCCTTCTCGGATGCAAAACCCCAGAAGTGATATTATGTTTTTGTGGTGCAAAGTTGTAAGAGTCTCTGCTTCTGAACAAAATTGAGCCACCATTGTTTTTGACTGTTTCAGTAACTTAACAGCTACTTGCGTTCCATCAGGAAGGTGTCCTCTGTAAACCATACTGCTCCCACCTTTTCCAATTAAATTCTCTGAAAATGTAATTGTGAAGTAATGGTAAATCCAAACACTAGCATAAATGTGTGTTAAGAATAATTACTCTATTCCAAAGAGTTCTCTAGAGTTTAGCAGTGAGAGTGCCAAGGCACCCTTTCAAGAAAAATGTTACGGATACCAAATACATATTCACATATAAGGTCTTTGACTACACCTTATTACGATAACCTTATGATGGATCTCAAGCCTTAATAGACTTTCACATCCATATTTAGCTGGAAATTTTTTCAATAGTGTGCAACAAGTGAGAATACTATTGACTAACCTGGCGTGAAATTAATTGTTGCTGTCAAAAGTTCCTGGTAGCTAAAGAATCTACAGATAGAGGTATATTTCTTGGAAATACACTCTAGGTCCTTAGGAAGTGAAGGAGATTTACTTCCACTTGAAGTGTATACATTTACACCATCTCTGGTTTCCTCATAAATACCATGTTTGTGATCAGGGTAGATAGTTGCAAAAGAGTGCCCGCTTTGTAGATTGGTTGGACTAAGTATCTTATGGCTTTGAAGATGCAATCTTCTTAGCAATGACCATCCTCTCTTTGAGTCACGCAGATCCATACACTTGACAGTGACCACAGATAGATCACTAAAACTCTTCTGGGGCACACCAAAATGGCCTGTTTGGCCAACCGAAGCAAGTGGTGTTGGTGTCCTTTGGAAGACAACTTTTCCGTCACTAACAGCAGTGACTGTGATGTCCTTTCCAACATTCCGGGCACAATACTTTGCAACTGAAACTGACGAGAGGACAGTATGGTGGGTGTATGAAGTGCCGACTACCAAATTTCTAGCCCGTAAAATTTTTGCTTCATGAGCTAGGACTACACGATTAGGTGATCCTCTGCATATCTTTAACTTCAAACCAACCTGTAAAAGAAGTTTATCTTAATAACATGGAGATAATTTTAATTAATAAACAGCCTCTCTTAATTGTAATATAACCTTTCCTAGCTTCCACAGATTTTTTAAAGAGAACATAGTTTACGGAATATGCAGCCGGCTATGAGAAAAGAGCAAACAAATGTTGGATTGCTCTAAAAAAAGTAAAAGGGAAGACTAGTAAATTACATACATCAGGAAAATTGGATTATTAGAATCAAATTTTCCTTGATATATTGGCCTATGATATCATTTACAGCTTGTGAAAAATGCTCTTTGATAAGGAAAGTTTTGAAATTAGAACCTAATTTTGAGTGTTTGAAGTAAAAACTCTACACATTAATGCTTTTTCGACCAAAAAAACTAGTAAGTAGAACTAAACATAAGAATTACTCCGTACTATATAAATAAAGTACAATAAACTATGATACCAATTCTACAAATGTATTTTTGTACTTGAAAAAATGTCTGTTTACATGAAGACTCTTGAACAAGAGTGGATCCGTCATTGCCCAGAGAACTATAAACTGTTGTGGCATTTGAAGTTGAAGCTTGCAAAATGGTAGGAAAAGTCAACCGGGAGGGAAGCATAGAAGAAAAACGGAAGAAAAGAAAATGTAAGCAATTTATTCAATATATTTTATGTTATTTATGACACATTTCTTCTTACTCAATAAATTTTATGTTATTTATTTATTTATTCATAGATTGAGTTTTTTTTTCTCGAAATTTTATTCAAGTTTGAGTTCATTTACAAAATTCTAAGAAATGCAAACAACTTGTTTTTTTAAAGTAAACATAATTCATTTTACCAAAAAAAAAGTAAACATAATTCATTTTCCTATAGACATCTTTAGTACTTAAAAAAATAACAATTGCAAAAATTTAAAACCAATAAAATTGATTGCGATGTACAAAAAAAAAAATAAACGTAAGAAAACAATTGTTCTCAGTAATTTTTCTTCTCCCTAGCATTCTCCGAAGTCCAAACATGGCTAATCCAAGAAAGTGTTTTATTATGCTAAACAAACCAGAAAGGCACCTGCTTCAAGTTGCAGAAGCCTTCAAAAGCGGCCAGCACTGAATCAAAAGTTTTCACCAATGACAGCATCTCTGATTCATCATCTTCTAAATTGAAAAAACAAAGATTTGATGACCATATACAAAAAAAGATAAATGGAAAAACATGGCGAATTGCGTACATATACGGAGCATATAGATATATACATACAGTCTACCTGTTTTGGGATTTAGAACGTGAAGAGCAATGACGCAGTCTCCCGGCTGAGCAATTTTAACCAGAGCCCATGTCAACAACTCTTTGCTCCGGGAATCCATTTTCACTCCGACCACCGTCAGAGCTCCTCCACCGGCGGAACCACCACCTCCACCGCTGTCTGCGGAGCAATCTTCGGCGAGCCTCATTGCATATATAAGAATTAAACCCGCCGCCGTTCCTTCCTTCACTCCACTCTGGCACTTTCTTTTCTCTCCTCCTCTGGCTAAAAATGGAGTCTTTTGGTCGCCATTAATGGTTTTGTACATGTTCTTTTTTATATCAATAAAAGCAAAAAGGGAGGGGGGACAAAAGGCAGTGGATTGAGTTGACCGAGTGTGGGGACTGAAAATCAGATTATGCGGGGAGTGCCATGTCATTGTTGGGAAGAGAACCGGCCATTTCACGAGGAAATTATGCAGCACGTGACGGCGTTGTTCCGCGCGGCCTTGTAACAACATTCCAAATCCCGCCCCGGACGTGTATGTAGAGTGGAGGTCGTATAAACAAATAGAATCAAGTAGTGTGGTAAAAAATTCGACTCAATAAGTTTTATGTTAGTCATATGGACATGTTAAA